TCTTAACTTGTGATCCTCCTACCTCAGCCTCCCAAATTGCTGGGATTACAGGCATGAACCATCGTTCCTGGCTTCCAGTCCTTTTTTAAATTTTAGTGTGAGACAGGGTCTTGCTAATTTGCCAAGGCTGGCCTAAAACTTTTCATCCTCCTGCCTCAGCCTGCCAAGGATCTGGGTGGGATGGCACACATGTGCCACCATGCCCAGCCCCAAATTTTAATAATAAAGCTACATTACTTTTTAGAGTAAACAAAGTTTACATTTAAAAATATTATATAAAATCTCAGACATGGCTAAAATCCAGTTGGCTGCTACGACCCTAGCTATTTCCTTGATATCCAAGTAGATTATTCTAATGAAGGCAGTCTGTGTATAAGGACAGCAAGTTTTTTGTTTGTTTTTGTACTGGCATTGAACCCAGAGATATTCACTGAGTTACATTCCCAGAACTTTTCATTTTTAATTTTGAGGCAGGGTCTCACTAAGTTGCTGAGGCTAGCTGCAAACTTGCAATTCTCCTGACTCAGCCTACCGAGTTGCTGGGATTTTAGGCATGTGTCACTCATCCAGCAAGACAACTTTTAATTGAAAACTTGTCAGTTGATATGGTAATATGCAATCTAAAACTGAGCAAATCACAAGAATTAAATACAATCTTCTTTGATAATTGCCACTCCTGACCCATGGGGACAGCTGAACTTAAGGTCGCTCATGTGAATTTCCAGGAACACCAAATAAAACACAGACACTTTACCTTTAAACAAACTTCAGGACAGCTCCTCTGCTTTCAGCCTCAAGCCCCCCAAATGGGAGATGGAGGGATAGTCATGAGAGTGTGGGGAGAGAGTGCACAAGCACGTTTGGAAATGGGCTTTTACTGGGAGGACCCTCCTTCTTATAAGAAGGGGCGGAGTTACAAAGAGCATGTGAATGTAATTCGACCCAAGGGCTGTAGGGCGACGCCTAAGTCTGAAGACTTGTCCTCAAACTTCCAGGACCAGAGAGGTAGTGATGGTCAAAGCCTCTCTGCTCCAAGATAGAAGACCCGGATCATTTAGAGTGGCTCCCCACAGATAGTTTACTTTGAAGTACCATTCTGGATTCCAAAAGAAATCAAAATCGGCACTCTCAAAATTCTGATAAATTACAACTAATGCTCTTACTCTAGGACAAAATGCAAGACATAATTTTAAGGAAGAAGTATAAGATCTAGGCAGCCAGGGCAAGACAGTAAGTGAGGTCAGGGCAAGGCCAGAACAAAGGAGCATGGAGAGGGTCTTCTGATGAGGTCAACTTCCTGCTTGACAAAAGTGCTTGTAGACACAAGCAGGGAATCCAATCAGACACTTTGGTATTTGTGCTTTTAAATAGGGGACCCAAGAGAAAAACTTTTTAAAAGAGATGCATGGACACAGGAGGCACCAATTAATAATAATGAAGAGCCCATGGACAGGAGACTAGATAAGAAAAGGAGGAAATTTCAGACTATAAAAAGAACAGGCCAAAACTCCTCCACCAGATTCCCAGGGTTAGGGCCCCTTCTTTTCAGAGAAGTCTATGGCTGTATCTCTGTCATTTTTGCAATAAACCTACTTCTTGTTTGCTATCTGTAACCTGTTCTTCAATTCTTTACTGAAAGGAGACAAGGAACCCAGACAACAAACCAAGCAACCCCAAATGGTAACAATTTAACAGCTAAAAGACATCTCACTATTTGCCATCTCAATGCAAGCTGAAGATTGTCTGGTATAAAATACTTTTTACTAAAGTTGGTTTCCCAGTTGATGGATTATTGTGTAAATATGGAAGAAAAATGGTCAAGTTTCTTGCCCAGAAAAAGGCTGTTGAGA